CCGCATGATTCCACCGATCTTTTTTTATTTCCGTGTAGCAAAACTGGTTGAATTGCTGCAACAGAAGCGTCCTAATGCGAGGGGGAAGGACCATGCTTACGACAGTGGTACTTCAGTTCGGTATACACGGGACAGGTGTTTTTGTAAAAATCTTCCAGGGCTGAACCAGAACGTTTCCTGATGCGCATGTTCTGTTTTTTTTTTACAAACAAGAATAAACACTACACTTTCGCCGGGTATTCTTCATCAGTGTTCATGCACGCACAGTTCCATGCGCTCAAACAATGTGGTAAAACAGCTTGACCATACCGAAGTGAGTAATTCCTCGACAAGTTCAGTGAAGGCCTCCACTACAGCTGTTAGTGACTCGTATCGGATTCCATGCGTCATGCGCTTGACATTTGGAAACATAGAAGTCACACATCGACTGACTCATCCCTACAGTCCGAATGTATGGCGACCCTCGTATGACTTGTGAGCTGTGCTCTCGGCTGTGTTGTGATATTCGGTTCTGTATGTATGAGTTGCAATCACTGAACACTATTCACCGTACGAGATTACAGTTCACGTTTTCTTTGCCCGGTCATCTGCACCTCCTCGTACTCGTCGTATACACTGCGTGTGCCGGAAACGTTTTTGCTCAGACCTCGTATGAACACCGTTTAGTTGAGGTCGTCAGCTATAGATCAGATGAAGCTGTTTAAGCACTGGAGTTTGTCTATCTAATCTAATACTTTATTTATTAAAGGTGCAATTTGGACTGTGATCAACTCGGTTCTAAACAGAGGTATTGCAATATTCTTTGGGGCGTGTTGTGAAGCGCTACTTACCTTTGCCAGTCGTATATTTGGCGCGCGGAAGAGAACGTGGTTGATGGTTTCTAACAGCAGTCAAAAATGAATGAGATCTCTTGGAACGAATTGATGTGTCCAAAATTGTGATTACAGAAATTGCATTTCTGCTGTCGGACTGTCCCATCAATAATCTTGCATTTATATCGAAATTATAATTCATCTGTTTCAAATGACGCACTTCGGTTTGTGTTACCCCATTTATCCATACTCATTTCGTTATTCCGAAGACCAACCTTTCTCCAGTCTGTCACTGTTTTGGGCATTTAACTAAGGCCCAAAATACACTGCAACTACGGTCTAGGACGACTTCTGTGGTTTTGCTTTGATGGGTCAATACAGAATAGTCCAATTATGATACAGAGGATGATAGTCATTCAACCAGTTGGTGCATGGCATCATGATGAGTGGTAGAATAAGGAACCAGAGCGCCACCTCTGCATGTGAGTATCAAGAATCCAATTCTACCGAACCGTGTGGTTTCTCGGTGTTCTTCGTTCATTTACTAGCGCTACCTGTCCAAACAGTATGAATTTAATCTATCCGTAGTTACTTTTAGTTATCTTGAAGAGATTGCCTACCTGGAATATTGTTTTTTTTCCATTTTCCGTGATGACTTATACGCCTTCCTTCCTTCTGTTTTCGGTATTTCCTCATTGCGAATCTATTTGTTTTATCTCACAGATTTGGCACAATTTGAATTTGAGTTTGAAAGTGGGTCAAGTGAAACGTCAATTTGCCAATCTATTCGGTATTGATCCGTCAGAGCTGAAACGCTTCCGTCTGTTATACTTTGATCAAATTATGGCTCTGGCTCAAGGT